ATCGTATATCGTGCGGTTAGTTTTCGTTAGGTACTATTTATATTTGAATTTTAAATTTTAAATTTTAAATGATTTATGACCGCACGATATACGATGAACGGACACGATTGCGTGATCCCTAGGATCCCTAGGAATGGATCCGGCGAGGATCCTGGTTCGATGGTGCTGCGCACGCGTGTGTGTGTATATATATATGTCAACTAATGTCAACTAGCTTATCGTACGAAGAGTTTGCGGTAATTACTGAGATTAGTGGACAGCAAACACGACTTAAATTTTACAAAATTGAGATTGTCGTTCATAGAATAACTTACTATGACATGATCAGTAAGAGTCTAGTAGCAATACTTACCATGAGCAAACATTTGTAAATTCAGTACTGAATTCATTAAGTTTAACGTTACGAATACACCTAAATCATAGTACCTACATGAATGCACCTAAATCATAATATCTAGTCGAATGTGCTTAAATATTTGTACCTTAGGTTCCATGGTAAAAAAAAAAAAAAAGTGATGACATTACAATATACTATATAAATAGCCCTCTTAATTTTAGAAAATGAATTACTACTTCTGGATGATGAACTAAAATCAGTTTGAAATTTGAATGAGAATAAAAAAAAACTACTGCAAAGTATCATATACATTATACATCCTAAATATATATATATATAAATAAATGACGTCCTATGATTGTTAACAAACAAAAAAACGTCTTCGTTATCAACATTCACAAAAGGGTATAATTGGAATCATAAAACAAAAACCAACAGAGAATCTAAATGACAACCTAATGTGGAATTATGTAGGCTGATGTGGCTATTTGGTCAGGAACTTAATTCAATTGTTAATCTTGCATACGGTATTATTCTAAATTATATCTTTTTCAAGGATTAATATCCAGTTTCCTAAAAAAAAAAAAAAAATACCCACATCAATTGTGGATCATATATGCTCATATATCGAATTTATTAGAACGAAAGCTTGTAAATTAATTTCCTAAGGTTCTCATTTTGGACATTAGTACAAGTTGGTGGACTATCAATTTGAATGATACCTTCTAAATATGAAAATTTCATCTGATCTTGAGAGTATGATTATATGACATTTTGGACCATGTGATATAAGAAACCAGACGAGGAGAGCTTACTTTAATGATTCGATTTGGATGGATGTATTCGTGTACCCTAACTTGGTCATCGTTACATCTCACATAATCTCTGGTGGAACTAATGTTGTCCCCTACCTAAACAATAATTGATCATGAACCTGAATTTGCTGGTTTTCAAGTTTTCCATTCATCTGGCCACTGCATGTAGTTTTACGCATCACTATAATTAAATTTCTCGCATTCCATTCAACATAAATACATATACGCCCACAGTTGAGAATTAATCCAGAGGAAGCATACTCATATAAAGCATGGGCAATCCAAGTTGATAGAATAGTTGGATTGCCTTGCCTATATTTCCTCTTTTCTCTACGTTGTAGTGAAAAAATCACAGATTTCGTTGAAAAAAATTGAATAGTTTGTTCAACTTCAAAAGCATAATTGTGCTAATTGAATTAAACATAAAATGGACTACAATGAAATTCGAGCGAGTTCATATTTTGGTCACCACCCCATTTTGTTGACTGTGGTGTCCCACTATTATATGAAGTTGTCCAAGATGAAAACTAAAGTACAATCCTTTTTTTTTTGTCTTTAATTTATAATTTTTTGGATCTGAAATTCAACTTGTTGTCAATATTGCAATAATTTATTAAAAGTGAGAATGGATTATACATGAAGAAATTTATAGTATTGTTAACAAGGCAATCTTTGTCAACAAAAAACCCATTAAATCACAGTTATAACCCTTCACAAATAATTGAATTTAAAAATAAGTTAACTAAGGACCTGTTGTTGTTGTTGTTGTTTTTTTAATTTAATTATATATATATAACTGCACCACTTTAAGGTCTAACAATAAAAAGGTATTTATTAAAAATAAAATATCCTGCATATTTTAAAGTACGGGCCTCTTCAGACAATAATTTTTAAGAGCAATCTACATATTGCTTTCAAAAGCTATTTTTTATAAAAAGTGGAGTTGAGCCTTATATGGACACACACAAAGTGTGTGAGAAATTTTTTTTTTATTTTGAAATAGGAGAGAGGAAAAGAGTGATAGAGAATGTGGGAGTGGAAAGTTTTTATTTTATTTTATTTTTTTAAATTAGAGATATGTTAGGATTATATGTAGGTGAGAATTTGAAGGAAAAAAAAAACAAAAATTGGTTGTGTGAAATTACATTTCTGCCTTATATTTCTTATGCATGTTATGTTTTAATTAGAGGGTTAAACTGGTAATTTCATAGGATTTTGGTTGACAATGAGTGTTTTATTAATTAGTAGAGATTATCAACACCACTGCCCTGGGCATAAGTATCGTCTCCACCACTCCCACCACCATGCCCATTCTTGTCATTATAAATAATTATATTATTAATAAAACATAGTTTGTAAACCAAAAACCTATTAAATAATAGTTATAACTCTTCACAAATAATTCAAATTTTTTTTAGTACATTGATATTTTACATTAAGGAGAGGGGAAGTTCGGCTAAACCACACAATGAGCAGCCTAATTTGGTATCAAATTCAATTTCAGAAAATAAGATAATTAAGGTCCCGCTTTTTTTTACCAAAAACTGCTTTACTTTAAAGTCAAACAATAAAAAAGTGTTTAGTAAAAGTAAAATATCCTGCATATTGTAAAAGCAGTAGCCTCCATACAGCAGCTTTTAAAAGCAACATATAGGTTGCTTTTAAAAAACTGTTTTTATAAAAAGCAGAGTTGAGCCTTTAATAAATATTTTCATTTCTTGTAATATTAGTTTTTTTTTTAAATGACATTATTTTTCATTTTACACACCCATTGTCCCTTGAAAAACAAAGTGAGCCCCACCAACTACCACTACAAACACTAACCTTACACCACCACCCCATTACCAACACCATTGTTGCCAAACCACCACCACCACCACCACCACTACCACCACAATCGTCACTACTGCTATCACCATCGTTGTCGCCACTACCACCACCACCACCACTACTACAACCATAACTGCCACCACTGGCACCACAACTAGAACTGCCACCACCTCCTCTACCATTGTCCCTACCATGATTATTATGTTTGCACCCCAACCACCACACCCCACTATTGTCACCACCATCATATTTCCACCATTGTTGCTATCATCACCACCACCGCCCTCGCCATCGGTGTTGTTGCCACCACTCCCACTACCATGTCCATTCTTGTCGTTATAAACAATTATATGATTTTTTTTTTATATTAAATTCACCAAATGCCTTATACTACTTTTCACATTCACAACACTTTTAAAAATACAGTTTATCAAACACTCAAATGTTATATTTTATAGTTGATTATTCTTAAAGCAGAGTAGAATCAGTCTTTAAAAAAAATATAGCAATCTAAACTAGCCCTAATTGCATTCCCACCCACTTTGGTAGATTTAGATCTAGGAGTTGACTTACGGTAGTTACTACTCACTTAAATAGTAAACTACCATGGTTACTATTCATTCTCCACCAATTGTGAATAGTAATTGACATGACTATTACTATTCACAAAGATTTATTTATTTTTAATGTATAATTCAATTATTTAGTAATTATTTTTTTGAATGAGATTAATTTAGAATAGGTGACTATGATATGCCACGTGTCCATTTGCCTAGCCGATGACATTTGCCTAACGTAAAACTCAAAACTTTCGTTTGAGCATCTCTCCATTTGCCTAACAAAAAACTCAAAACTTTCACCCTACCAGTAAATGCACCTTCCCTACAACTAGTGCCATACCAACCGACATAATCCTCATGAATTTGCTTCCACATATTTGCACACCTCTGCATGCTCATTGCCCGTAATTGGACAATGGGTAATAATGACTTTCCAAAGCTCACACAAAAAAACATATTCGGCGGTCGACCATGCGGTTCCGGCTTCGGCTCCACCTTCGATGGGAGATGCCATTTTTGTAAGCACAAACAAAGTAGGAATATAGACAATGAAATAAGAATGTAGAAAATTTGTATAAAATTTGGTGTGGGAAGAGATAAAAAGATTTAGTATTTATATAAAATCTACAAGTAACTTTTGGAATATTTTTTTATTTGGTTTTTCTAATTTTTCTTATATTTTCTGAATTAAAATGTTATTGTTATGGAGAGTAGTATAATATTTAGATTAAACTAAAAATTGAAAATGGACATCAGAGATTTGGCCACGTGGTTATTGAGCGTTGAAGTAGTCATTGGAAGCCCAGCCGACCGTTGTGGCTGGCCCAAGCGTCAATTTTTGTAGCACTACTCTCGCTGGTGGACACATGTGATGCATGCACCTTGCGCACAAAAAAGCAGTGTATACACTGATGATAGGGTCATGGATTTGGGCTTGGACTTAAAATCGACATGGCGCCGGCCATGATTTGTGAGCCTTGGTGATCCAAAAATTGGTGGTGTGTTTTAGGTTGGATTTGAGATCTAACCATGTCAATGTAACATGGGTGAAAATGCTTTGAGTATGAATAAATATATCAAACAACTAATAAAAACAATAAAAAATAACAGAAAAAGGTGATTTTAAAAAAACCCCACGTCTCCCACTTCAACCCCCCACTCCCTCCTCTACTTTCACTCTCAATTTGGTTCCTAAAAAAAAGTAAATAATATAAATATTTTATAACAAATATATAATAGACAAATTTAATTACATATGTGAGCATGTAACTAGTAATATATGATCAAACAAAAAATAAATAAAATAAAAAAGAATCAATTGCCAAGGGGATGGTATATAACAAATAAAACAACTCTCTCAAAAAAATAAAAAAAATAAAACAACAATTAATCAATTATTAGGTAGCAAAGAGATTGCTAAGAAAGTTCACACAAAGGCGCTTCACAACAACAAAAAACTCCAGCTAGGTTTTCATATATATCACGAGGGTAATCGAACGTGGATAACGGGTCAACCACCCAAAAATCACAAAGGAAAAAACCCTCCTGCAAAATAAAGCCTCGCTCGCAGCATGAGTACAATGGCTGGTGTTTCCTCCAAAGGTCTTGAACGCCAGAAAAAGACAAAAAAAGAGGAAAAAAAAAAAAAAAAAAAAAAACCCCACGAAAAAGGGAAAAAATACATGCGTAAGAAACTGTCAGATTTATTCCTATTTATCTCCAACTCTAGGGCACCGAGGGAACGTCAAAACTTCAAATTTCTGGTCACACCAACATGAGCAAAGCATGTCTTAGGTTTTTTACCAGATCTTTCACTGTCATGCTGAATTCAACATCCATCTGTAGTTAAGAAATAGAGAGTCTTATTAGTTAAGGATAAAAAAAAAAAGTCAGGTTTAAGTACTAAATTAACCTAACCAAGTATCGGTACCTGAGCAACTACAGTGATATCAAGAGTTGAATTGCCAAAGGGCAAGGCACAGCTGTGAACTATGGTGAGACCAAGCTTTTCTATTTCACTTAGTATTCTTGTCAAACATCCGTTGGTTTTCTCGCAGTGGATTCGTATAAGAACCTCCTTGTCCGAAACTCTTGCTTCAATTTCTGGCAGTGGCTGGTCAGAGCAGCTCTCGGAGTTCTCGTCAGATGAAGATATATCATCATCCGCTGAGTACTGCATCCTCTTCACAAAAACCACTGCTTCCCCAGTTTTCTTGGCTGCTTGTTCCTCCAGCACCTTCGTACGTTCTTGAAGATGTTTCACGTACTTGATTGCATCTCCGAGGACCGAAGCCTTGTCCATCTGTAATTTTGTGGAAAAGGGTAAATTAGAATCTTTAATGGCATTATAACCAAATTAAACTACGGAAGTGTTCTCTTAGCAGACAACACGACTGCCAGATTATCAATCTGGGTTGATTAGCCAAACTCTTCCATAAAATCTAGATCAATAACCGTTTAAAGCATGATAGTAAGAAAAAGGCTACATTAGACCATAACTTTACAAACATAACATACTGTCTAACAGTGAACACATTAGAAGTACCAACAAAAAAGTTAACTGATTAACTAGTACCTTCTTTAGGCCTGGAAGTAAAGCAGATAGAGCAATGAACCGCTGGCTGAGCTTTTCTCGGCGCTTTCTCTCAGCAAGAACATGATCTTGAGCATGTAAAGGACTTCTAGTCACCGTAGCTGCCCTCTTGATCCCTTGTCCATGTTTGGGTGAACAAGTTTGGGTGTCATAGGAACCTTGGGAAATCAAAGCTGGAAGTTTCAATTTTCCATTGGAATATTCCACCTCATTCTTTGGCTTGATAACTTTGCAATCTGGACCATAGTACTGCTGAGAAGTGGTCGGAAGTGATGAGTCGGAGTTCTTAAACGAAATTAGGTGTGACGAGGAAGAAGGAGAAGCTTTGGCAGCAATTATATGGTCAGTGGAGCAAGATTTCCAACTAGTAGTGTTCTTAGGCTGTTTTGCTGGCCTTTCCTGAGTGCCGGTCTGATGGGGATTTTCAACGAATGCTTTGCTGAAGTTGTGTGTAGCAGCTGCAGTTTTCGAGGTGAAATTTGGGTAGGATGAGTAACTCTCAGATGAGAAAGACGAGAAAATGAGCTCATCAAGTGAGTAGTCCAGAGAGCTCATTTCGTGTTGATTGATAAAAGTGGAATCTTCCATTTCCTATAATATAAATCAAAACATTAGTGAAGAACCAAAATTTGAACTTGTCAAGATTAATGTTTTACTCTTTTGCATCCATTTTTATAGAATTCCCATTTTTTTCTTGAATTATCTTCACGTTAAGAGATAGGAAAGGAGTATATAATAAATTGTAATTAGAAATGAGAATTACAAAATCAGATACCCATTCTGCTGATGAGATCATGCCCATTATGCACCTGGTTTCTTTCCTTGGAGTGGATAGTAATTAGCAGCAGCGTTGGATTCAACTGAACAAAATAGTAAAATCTTAGTTATGTACGAAGGCATGAATAAAACTTGAACAATGAACAAAGATTTCATGGAAGGCTGATATGTAGACTATAATATGATCATAAATATTATCTTTTCTAGAAACTTGAGAACAAAAACAAGATTGCAGAGAGGTGAAGACCAAGAAGTGGAAAGCGTGGATCAGATTTGTATGTATATGATCGTCTATGTATTAAATATCAAAGACTCAAAAGTACTAAACAAAGTTTACAGAGGTAACAATATTGACTAAACACTTGCATCTCCCAGAGATTAATTGATTCATTAAATTTAAAAGAAACTCGAATCTCAAAAAACCAGCTTGATGGATAGTAATGAACCCTAAAAAACAAGTTCAGGGAACTTAATTAAGGAATCAAAGAAGCCGAGAGATCGCGTAGCAAACGCCAAGAAAACTCCTTGAAACTTGGAAAAATGGAAATAGGAGCACTGAAAGTTGAAAAACACCTCACCTTACGACCAGTGAAGACTATCCAAGTTCTTGTTTTTCCAGTTCTCCAGGAAGGAAGAGTCTTGCAATTGTAATATTTTATAGGTATACGAACGCGCTCCACATCGAGACGATGACTAAAAAGCAAGCAAATTAAGAAATTAGAATGTACCGATCCAATAATATACTATAATTATAGTGGCACGTGTGAAAATGTTTCACGCATTCTGATGACTGAACGCTATTCATTAGGAGGCTTTTTCCTCTTAGGTAGAACTGGCATTCGTGTCGTGTTTCTCGTGTTCGTGTCGTTTTCGTGTCATACCCGATAGTTTAACGGGTCGTGTCGTGTAATACCCGTTAAAGTAAACGGGTAATATGACCCGACCCGAAATCAGCCCGTTAATATTTTCAGGTAATATGACCCGACCCGTTACCCGTTAAGAAAAATATATTTTAAATCAACAAAAATGAAAATGAAAAACATAATTTAACCCAAAAAAATGTAAAACATAATACTAAATTAGTATATGCATACTAAATTTCGGAGTTGACCCCTTAATGAAAGTTGTAAAGCTTTTTATTACGCATGATTACATTTTTTACACTTCTACAATAATTATTATTAATTTTATTAATTTTTCACTCAAATAAATAACATTGTTCATGAGATTTTGAGGGTTTTAAAAATCTAAACGACCATGTAACCTTGCTAATGGAACTCAAAGCTTACATGTTATTCCTTTTACAAAATCCTCAATTTTCATAGATCATCATGACATAAGATTTTGTGGTATATATCCACTTCTGTAAATATTTTAAATTGACGATCAAATTAGTTCATTGTATTCATATAGGATCAAGGAGTGTAGCTGTAAAAAATCATCAAAATCAGAGTTAAAATAACCGTTAAATCGTGATTTTTCGTTTATAACCGTCGAAACATTTTGTCTCGTTACTTGATCTCTGAATGTTTGGTTTTTGCAATTTCTGGCGTATGCGATCTCGAAGCATATATAAACATGTTTGATGGTTGGATCATTGAAATTAGTTTCATATGATGCGTATCCCATCAAAACGATACATTAACTAACACTTAGAGTTTATTTATATTTTCATTAAGTATAACATAAGATTTTGTGGTATCCACTAATGTAAATATTTTAAATTGAAGATCGAATTCATTCATTGTATTCATATAGGGTCAAGGAGTGTAGTTGTAAAAAAATCATCAAAATCAGAGTTAAAATTACCGTTAAATCGTGATTTTTCGTTTATAGCCGTTGAAAAGTTTTGTCTCGTTACTTGATCTCTAAATGTTTGTTTTTTGCAATTTTTGGCGTATGCGATCTCGAAGCATATATAAATAAGTTTGACGGTTGGATTGTTGAAATTAGTTTTGTAGGATGCGTATCCCATCAAAACGATAGATTCACTAACATTTAAGAGTTTATTTATACTTTCATCAAGTATAACATAAGATTTTGTGGTATCCACTAGTGTAAATATTTTAAATTGAAGATCGAATTCATTCATTGTATTCATATAGGGTTAAGAAGTGTAGCTGTAAAAAATCATCAAAATCGAAGTTAAAATAACCGTTAAATCGTGATTTTTCGTTTATAACCGTTGAAAAGTTTTGTCTCTTTACTTGATCTCTAAACGTTTTTTTTTTTTGCAATTTTTGGCGTATGCGATCTCGAAGCATATATAAACAAGTTTGACGGTTGGATCGTTGAAATTAGTTTCGTAGGATGCATACCCCATCAAAACGATAGATTCACTAACACTTAAAGAGTTTATTTATACTTTCATCAAGTATAACATAAGATTTTGTGGTATCCACTAGTGTAAATATTTTAAATTGAAGATCGAATTCATTCATTGTATTCATATAGGGTCAAGGAGTGTAGCTATAAAAAATCATCAAAATCGGAGTTAAAATCACCGTTAAATCGTGATTTTTCATTTATAACCGTCAAAAAGTTTTGTCTCATTACTTGATCTCTGAATGTTTGTTTTTTTTTCAATTTTTGGTGTATGCGATCTTGAAGCATATATAAACAAGTTTGACGATTGGATCGTTGACATTAGTTTCGTAGGATGCGTATCCCATCAAAACGATAGATTCACTAACACTTGAGAGTTTATTTATATTTTCATCAAGTATAACATAAGATTTTGTGGTATCCACTAGTGTAAATATTTTAAATTGAAGATCGAATTCATTCATTGTATTCATATAGGGTCAAGGAGTGTAGCTGTAAAAAATCATCAAAATTAGAGTTAAAATAACCGTTAAATCATGATTTTTCGTTTACAACCGTTGAAAAGTTTTGTCTCGTTACTTGATCTCTAAATGTTTGTTTTTTGCAATTTTTGGCGTATGCAATCTCAAAGCATATATAAATAAGTTTGACGGTTAGATCGTTCAAATTAGTTTCGTAGGATGCGTATCCCATCAAAACGATAGATTCACTAACACTTAAGAGTTCATTTATACTTTCATTAAGTATAACATAAGATTTTGTGGTGTCCACTAGTATAAATATTTTAAATTGAAGATCGAATTCATTCATTGTATTCATATAGGGTCAAGTAGTGTAGCTGTAAAAAATCATCAAAATCGGAGTTAAAATAGCCGTTAAATCGTGATTTTTCATTTATAACCGTCAAAAAATTTTGTCTCGTTACTTGATCTCTGAATGTTTGTTTTTTGCAATTTTTGGTGTATGCGATATCGAAGCATATATAAACAAGTTTGACGGTTGGATCGTTGAAATTAGTTTTGTAGGATGCGTATCCCATCAAAATGATAGATTCACTAACACTTGAGAGTTTATTTATACTTTTATCAAGTATAACATAAGATTTTGTGGTATCTACCAATGTAAATATTTTAAATTGAAGATCGAATTCATTCATTATATTCATATAGGGTCAAGGAGTATAGCTGTAAAAAATCATCAAAATCAGAGTTAAAACAACCGTTAAATCGTGATTTTTCGTTTATAACCGTTGAAAAGTTTTGTCTCGTTTCTTGATCTTTGAATGTTTTTTTTTTTTGCAAATTTTGGCGTATGCGATCTCGAAGCATATATAAACAAGTTTGACGGTTGGATCATTGAAATTTGTTTCATAGGATGCGTATCCCATCAAAACGATAGATTAACTAACACTTAGAGTTTCTTTGGGTTAAATATTAGGCGGGAAATGGATGGATATAGGCTGCAAAATTTCCCAAACATTAGGCTGGAAATGGATGAAACTCTTGAAATATTAGGCGGGAAATTAATTATTATAATTTTTTTATGTGTTTGGTATTTTTATATATTTTTATTTTTAATGTGTTTTATGATTTTTAATCTCAATCTTTGCCTATAATATACTATAAAAATAAATAAATAAATAAAACTTAAAATTTAAAGTTTATATAGAATAATAATTAATAAACAATATATACATATTCATTATATCTATTGCATTTTATAGTAAGTTTTTTTTAGTAGTTTAAAAAAATTAAAATCATCAAAATAGCATTTTTCTTATCGTGTCGAAACAGGTTACCCGCGTGTCACTCTCGTGTAAACCTGTTAAGGACCCGTTATTAACGGGTTATTATCGTGTGACCCGATAATGACCCGATTAGTTATCGTGTTGACCTGAAACCCGTTATTTTCGTGTCGTTTACGTGTCGTGTTAACGGGTCGTGTAAGAAATTGCCAGGTCTACTCTTAGGTCAATTTATGACTCTTTTCTTGTTTTGACCTATAAATCCAATTGATTGGGTGACCTGATTTTCGTTGGGTCGGACCAAAAATACATGTTTTCAATTTCAATTTAAGAAATTTTAAGAGATGAATGTCAATTCAATTTCAGAATTGAAATTTCGAAATTTTTATAACTCACCTTGAATTCAGAATATTCGGAATTAGAGGAATTTCAAAATTATGGAATTGTACAGCTTCATCTGTACCAAGATCAAAAGTATTTCCTGGTCACTTCTACGTAATTGTTGCAGTCATATTTAGAATAAAAATGTGATTGTGTAAATCCTAGTAGATATATGAATGTATCTTATATTCCTATTAGGAGTTGATTATCTATTAAGAGTTGTAATCCTAAACGATAAGGTTTTTGCCTATCCTTCTACTATAAATAAGGGCAAAATAGGATGATACAAACATACCTCACAATTAAATCACACTATCTTCTCCCCCAATACCGCCGGCCCCATCTCTCTCTAATCCCTTAGATTAGTTCAATCAAATAGGTTTACAACACGTTACCAGCACGTTATTGCCAAAAGCTGAGGAATTAACGGATCATAAAAGGAGGCTATCTTCCACAAAATTCAAAGGCTCTTCTTTGTTTTCTACCAATCGAGTACGCTTAAAATAAAGGAAGATATTTGAAATGTCCACGAAGCATAAAAACATTTCCTATGATGCATGAGCTCCTCTATGTTTATATTTTCCTTACGGTATATATATATATTTGTTTCATGCATCACGCAATTAAATTGCTATATGGAATTTGTGAGTCAAAGCATATAAATAAATTAGAAGCAATTTAGGGTTTTTCAAACCCTAGGGATTTCAAAAAAAAGGGAAAGAAAATTGGGCATGGTTTGGCACCATCGCCGTGGCACCACCATTGGCAACACCATGCATCGTCACTGGCCTAAAGCCCAGCTGCATGGACCGTTATAGCAGCCTTTGGGCTCACTGCTCCTGCACTCGACAACTAGGCTTCGGCTTGGGGTTAATTTCGACTGGCCTGAAGCCCCAAGCCCACCTGCAGCTTGGCCCGACTTGCCAGCAAGCCTTTGCGCTTGTTGGGATTTGATCTTACCCTGGCCCACAACCAAACAATCAGCCCAGTAGGCTAGGTTTCTTCCCCTGGCCCAAAGACAAGGCTCCAGCTTCGGTTGGGCCTTCCTTGTGCTAACCCACAAGCCAGCGTCGGCTAGGTTTGTCCTCGCACACCCTTTTGCCCCAATACCAGCAGCCTTGGCTGCTGGGCATACCCAGTTCCTTTGGCCCGTGGGCTACATTTTGCAGCTACCCCAAGCCCAAATCTTTTTGGGCTATTTTTTTTTTTTTTTACCCAATGCTATTATTTTGGCATTATTTTGCTTTCA